ACAAACAACTGAACATTGTTTTCAGCAACCCAAATAGTGCAATTGGAATTATGGGTGACATTCTATGCGCTGTGAAAGGGCTTAGGGCCCTGCTTATTATCCCACACAATATCACATTTCACTTTTCATGAAGATACATTTTCAATTTTGAGATGTACAAAACAAACATGGTACAATCGTCCCCAATGGGGACGAATTGCTACCCATGTGCTGAGGTGTGTTGATGTGATGCAATTGGGAGCAGCAATGATATCTTTCCAGATACACCAGATACAATGTGAATTGATTCAACATGATGACTAGCTGCTGCAATCTATATGGCAAAAGTGAATGAATATTCGTCCCCAAGGGGGACGAATTGTACCTTTATATTAGGCATGTGGCACTCGAATATTACTTTGCAGGGGAAAACGTCCCCCAAGGGGACGAATTCATCTAGGGGGATTTCTGCATGTTCAATTTCATCAAACTGTTTTCTAAGGATGGAACAAGACCGCAATTAGTAACCAGGCATATTCATGCGCAATTCATGTCTCTCTTCCGCGTTCAGTCCATAACCCATGTCATATATATCATCATCCTCCTCTTCTTCGTCTGGTTCCTCCTCTTTCTCTTCTTCCTCCTCCATCTCTTCTTCCTCCTCCTTTTGCTCATCATCCTCCTCTGACTCTTCCTCTTCTTCCTCTTCTTCCTCCTCCTCTGCAACAACCTGAGACCGTTTTGACCCTACAACTTTACCTGAGTAATGGATGATGTCAGTCATGCATAGGAAAAAGTACAATTCAAAGTAGAGACACTAACGCTTGATTGCAGCCAGCTCTTTATCAGCGGTCATCTTTGAAACCGCATTGTGAGGTCGTGTCAATTTACCAGTCTGACTGTCAACCTCGGGATATAAGTTTCGTCCTCTCTCTGAAACAGGTTGTGGCTGGCCTTCAGTGTTGGTGAAAATCGATCTGAAAGCCTCAGTTGAAGGTGCAGTGCTAGGATCTTCTTTTAGCGCATCAGGTATGTCAACCGGTCTCATCACTTGACCATTGAGACCACGAGAGAGACCAGGTACAACAACCTCGGTCTGCAGGTCCAAAGTGAACAACTTAGCTAGAGTCGGCTGGTCAAATTCGCGGTTGAATCTGGAGGTCATCTCAGGCCAATTAATATTGCGCTTAAATCGTCCAGCAGGAGTCACAAAGTCCTGTAAAATTCCAAACAAGTGAGCGTCCAGTCGATTCCAAGCACGCCCTCCAAAGACGTGATCCTTGGCTATATCAGGATCGCTGCGTCGCGCATTCAGAATCGTTGTGAACATGAGGAGATAAGCGCCATCCATCATTGCAATCTTCTTGCAGTCAGGCCATATATGAAAAAGACTCGCAGTACCGTAAAGAAAGAAGAGGGAAGCCGAGGTCAGAGCTGCATGTCGAATCATAAATACTTGACGCTTGATGATCTCATTACGCTCGGTCTCCTTGCTCTTCTCAAGTTGATTTTTCACCTTGGAAGTGGTACCAGTCAAAAGCTTTGAGGTTGGATGGGATTTGGCGATTTTGTTCTCAACCAACTGTCTTACACATCCTTGACCTTTCATCTCACGAGCCAGATCGCCAAGTGCCTTCTTTGTCATTTTAGATCGTCGAGCATCTTCAAGCTTCCTGTTATACATGTCCTTCTCATATACAAACATAACACCAAGAAAAACCAGAAAGAGTTTACGCTGGAACCACGCTAGACCGTCTCCTACCAGTTTTGATGGCTTGATGTCGTCTTCAAAAGATCCTCGCATCGTGCACTGTAGATATAGCCAAGCAATAGTTTGTGACATAGGCACAAAGTCTGCATGTACCTTATTTTCACCCTCAGTACGAATGACAATACTATCATGGACTGAGTCATGTGAGATGTGCTGGAGACTTTCATTGAGGATAACTCTGAGCCTATGGAAACCGTTGGTGAGATTACTTGCAAGAGTTGGCTCCTTGGTCCATGTCGGAGAAGTATCGGTTCGACAGGACATGCCACTCAAGGCTCGGTAGAATCCGCTCTTGTTGTTCCAGGGGTACTTCATTGAATCTTCCACCAACTTCCAGTTGATACTGTCCTCAGTTAGGACAGGATCGTGTGCAGATAGCTGCAACAGGCGCGGTGCTACAATGACAGACAATGACATTCTGTCAGCTGAATGGTCATAACGTCCCCAATGGGGACGTTTTTCCTGTGCCTAATAAAGGAACTTTCATACCTGTCTGTAATCGAGCAACCATCCTATTGTCATCATTCATATCCTTGATGCGCACAATGTGTGATTCCAGAGAGCTCGAATTCGCCTTATCCAAAGTCGTGATATCTTCATACTCCCACCCTTGGATGATAATGCGCATCAAGGGGCCAAGAACAACACCCCAATCGTATTGAGGTGACTTGACTTGCTTCTCAAATTCAGCAATATCGCTCCGCTCTTGTTCGCTGAGAGTTGTAAATATTTCTGCAGTAGAGATCAATGGTCAGCAACCATAGTTCACATGTTGAGACAAAGGGTTGGGATTGTTGAATAAGAGATGTGAGTGAATAGAGAAGCAGTCAAATGGTCCCTTTTGGGGACGATTTGACCAAGACATAATGAGATGAGATGATCGAGACGTAATGAGATGGAGATGATAGAAAGTAATGTTGGTCAAATCGTCCCCTTCAGGGACGTTTTGACCATTGCTGGCAGGATCCAATGAAAACAAATCATAACTAGAGATGTGGTTGTGGATAATAAAAGACTTTGACACCGGAGATGGTCAAATCGTCCCTGAAAGGGACGATTTGACCAAACTCATGGGTGTAGAGCAACATCTGACTTACTTGTTAAATCCACCGTGGACCCATGGTATATTGACGAAGTGGTGGGTTCCAGAAGAGGCCAAGGAGGATCGATATTCGATTTCTTTTTGGGCACCACCTGAGAGTTGGCCGAGCCTTCTTTATTGACCTCTGTTGTTGGTGAGGCGGCCTTAGAAGCTTGCGCTTTCCCATCTACAGCTTCAACCTTGCCACTCTTGGCACGTTCTGCTTCAAACAGAATGGCGTCCTCTCGTTCATCTTCGGAATCATACCGTTCTTTGCTCTTGAAAACGCGTGCCTTCCGCTTGGGACCATAGGCGCTTGTTGGTTCAGTCTTGCTCTTCTTGGTCGCAACTGTCAAGTGATGGAATTTGAGCTAAGGATCAATGAGGAGAAAGTCTAAACATACCATTGTTTTCGGAAACTCCTTTGCGCTTATTGGTGGCATGAACGACTTCCTGCTTAGGAGGCACATAGATTTCCATGACAATCTCTATGTCGTCATCATCTGGGCATGAGGCAGTCACCTCTTGAACCTTGGCTTTCTTACGGTCAAGGTTACTGAGGACTTTACTGAATGCACCATTCAGCTCATCTATTTCTTCGTCAACAGCCCCAGCAGCGTACTGAGCAAAGATGGGCAGCATAGTGTCCTTTGCTGACTGGACTAGCGCCTCAACTGTGGTGCTCATTTCAAAGTCAGTTATCTAGTGAGATGTGTGGTGACAGTAAACTAACTCACCATTGATGCATTGAGCTTTGATGGTAGTGGCCTTGAGACGCCTAGTCTGCTTAGAGCCCGCTGCAGATGCCTGATGATGAACTTCATTAGTGAGGTGTAGCTGGCAGTGAATCAATGACACTTACACTTGATTGCTCCACCGGTTTGTTAGCAATCTGGAGGAAGGGATTAGGATTTTGAGTGAGCCATGATACTCAACTCCCTTGGAGGCAATCTAATCAGACTCACTCGGGGTATCTTTCCCAGTTTCCCAAGGGGTCCACTTGATGTCGCTTGAGCTGCAGGGACAGTTGGTTGCTCCGAAGCCTGAAGATGAATGTATGTGTGCATGAGGTCCATGCAAAGCAACAATAAAATATCAGATCTCAACATGGAAGATTGGTCAAATCGTCCCCTTTGGGGACGATTTGACCACATTAGTTGTTTGAAATGTCACGATAACGAGTTGTCAAATCGTCCCCTTTGGGGACGTTTTGCTTCAAGGAATTGATGGGACTGACCTTTTCTTTTTCAGCTACCTGATCCTGGGGTTGATCGTTGGTCTCTTCTTTCGACATAGAGGCTTGATTCTTCTAACCACAGTGTTGATTGTCAGCACACTGTCAACCAGTCTTAGAGAGATTGGGTAGACTTACTTTGGCTAGCTCTGCTTCCTCAATCTCTGCAGCCTGTAATATAGACAGAAGGTGTTGGTTATCAGCAGGATGAAACGACTTGTGTGGACATCAACTTTAATCAAATAACTCGACTTACATGAGCAGCAAGGGCTTCATCGTCCTCATGAGTCATCTCGAACTCAGTCATGGGGGCAGGTGGTGGTGAGTTTGACTTCTAAGGAGCATATGATTCTTCAGCATCATATCATGGAGTGGATGTTGATGGGTGCTTACCTGGGCAGGGAGGGGATCCGTTGTAACCCCGGCTTGAGATGTGTTAACGACTTTCACAGCTGGCATCTATATTAATCGACTCAAGCTATCAGTCTTCCATCTGCATGCTGAGCTGGACAAGATTGACTTACTTTGAAGGACTGGGTTTTGTACTGGAAGCTGATGAGATGAGGAAGCAGGCAAGGTAGAGAGGGTTGATGAAGATTTAATGAAGGTGAAAGTGAAAGTGAGGCAAGTGCAAATCAAGATGTGAGGAGGAGAACACAATTGCTTACTTATGGATGGGTTGGTGTATGTTGAGATCGAATTGGTGGAAGGTGGATGGATTGATTGGAAATGAAAGTGGGATGATCGACTTTTGAAATGGTCAAGGAGGTTAACCAGAACCAAACCACTTGGTCTGAAGACCAGTGCCAACTTGTGGTTTGGTCACAAGCGTCCAGTTGTGGGTGAATTACATGTTGTGTACAGCTCACAGACCTAGCTTGGGACATGTCTGATGTTACACACGTGACATGGGTCAACTTGGTTGCGATACAAAAGGAAGGCAGCAGGGTTCGAACCCACGACCTTCACATGTTTATAGCAAGCGATCATCTTTACCACTAGGCTATACCCGCATCTGTGTGTATATTTGCAGAAAGATCATATAGTGATACCATTATTAGCATCCTCAGATGAAGGGCCCAGTCTAATGTGGCAATTGTGGACACTGCTGAGCAGTGTACATACTCACTTGGTGTTGTCTCAGCATAAGCTTCACCTATGTAATGTGACAATGTTGTATACGTGACTCACAGGTTAGAAGTAATATATCAAGTATATTCACATTTTCTGTCCTCACATAACCTCAAGGTCAAGGAGGCAATGCACTGGTTACTCCAAGTGTGTGTACTGTGCGCCATCTATTTGGTTTGCAGGAATAATATGAAATCCTGTAGTCTATGTTGTCACATGCCATGGGTAATGAGGTCCCACGTGGTCTTCTAGTGACCCAAATTGAACATTTGGGGGTTCATGCCACGCATGGATCCAAGACCATCCACTGGTACCTGAGGGAACTGTTGCTCAAGGAGGGCTGCAGTGAACAGCTTCATATTATGGTTCAATGTAAAACATACATGTGCTGTCATGAGAGAGTCTGGATGGGGGGTCTTTGAGTAACAAGCACTTTGTGTATGCACATTGAGTAACAAGCACTTTGAATTCTTATCAATGTACATACACATTGTGACAGAATGGGTCAAAATACACAACCTTGTATCTGACCATGATGTAGAAAAAGTGATTACTGGAGTCAAAAAGACTGTACCATCTGGTATCAAGAGTGGTGCACAAGGTGCAAGGATTCCAATGTGGTGTTTGAATTGCAGTGCCTTCACGTTGTATGAATGATGGTACAAAGGCTCATGTTGGGCACAGAGCTGATGCACCATCAGATGTCTGTGTAATTTAACAGAAATGATGATTCAACTGGTTTCAACTTAGCAGTTCTCACATGACACAGTGGTAAGAAGGTCCCCACTAGGTACAGGGTTAGAGCATTGGGTATCTGGATCATTTGATAGACATTGCCCTTACTTCATGGGCAAACTGGTGTGCCTTCACAAGCCAGGATGGTAAAAGAGTCCCCACATGGGACCAATGTACTTGAATGTGGTTAATGTGGTCATGAAGTATAAATTGCTCAGCTGTTCATCTTGGTAAAAAGGTCCCCAGTGGGGACGAAATTGCATGTAGCTCCAATTACACAGGCGTGCATTGTGTAAAAGAATGCAATTTCGTCCCTTCTGGGGACGAAATGACCATTGGACCGTACGGTTTTGGGGGCTCTAGGCACCAAGTTTTTGGTCCGTACGGTCCCCCCCTATAAACCGTACGGACCGTACGGGAATTAAGCCCTTAACGCCGTGGGGCGGTAGCTAGGCTACATACACTACGGGTTACATACACTACGGGCTACATACACTACGGGTTACACATACTACGGGCTACATACACTACGGGTTACACACTACGGGTTACATACACTACGGGCTACATACACTACGGGCCACATACACTACGGGTTACACATACTACGGGTTACACACTACGGGTTACATACTACGGCTTACACACTGTGGGCTACATACACTACGGGTTACACACTACGGGTTACACACTACGGGTTACATACACTACGGGCTACATACACTACGGGTTACATACACTACGGGCTACATACACTACGGGTTACACATACTACGGGTTACACACTACGGGTTACATACTACGGCTTACACACTGTGGGCTACATACACTACGGCTTACACGTACTACGGCTTACACACACTACGCGCTACATACACTACGGGTTACTCACTACGGGTTACATACTACGGCTTCCATACTACCGGCTAACATACTACCGGCTACATACTACGGGCTACTCACACAACGGGCTACATACACTATGGGTTGATCACTACGGGCTACTCACACTACGTGTTACACACCCCACGGGCCACATGCACTACAGGTTACGTCCTACGGCTACATACATTGCGGGCTACATAGACTACAGGTTACATATACACTACTGGTTACCAACACTAGTCCGGGTTACACACACTACGGCTTACATAGTGTGGGTTACATATACTACGGCTTACATACACTTCACCAACACTACGGCCTTCTAAATCTACACGGCAGATCAGTTCACGTTGAAGTAATCGAAAGTGACACTCGACGTCCCGCAGCTGGGATCTAAAACAGGTTACATACTGCTGGTCACATAACATACATTCATTGCTCGCTGACGGCGAGCAATGTACGCGGTGATGAACAACGGGATGCTCGCCGACGGCGAGCATAGTCGCCATCAACTTGGCTGATACAGTCGAGAAATACATTTAGCGCTGATAATGACGGTCTCACACGAAGCTCGCCGTCGGCGAGCATTCGAATCATCACGCTGACGGCGTGAGGCTGATGCGGCACGCTCGCCAATGGCGAGCATTTGGGCAGGTAACCAACGGATCTTTTCAGCGCACAATCAGACAAACTAATCACACTACATAGAGTCAATGGTCACCATGACAACATAACAAATTGGATCATAGAAAGACAAAGATCAAACTACTGCACTCTCTTGCGGATATGGTCACAGCGGAATACAATAAAGAGCGTAACCATGTTGGCCCACGGGCATCCAAGCCATCCATAGTCCCCAAGCCACTCCTGGATTTCACTGTCACTCGCAGATGACACATTCACATCCCCCGTACGCAACTCCAGCATTCGAACCAAACACCCCGTAATGGAACGCTTGTTCCGGAAATACCACCAGCAAAACAAATCACACACATTCTGAAGACCACTGTCACACATCTTCCGCCGCCCATCTGTCACAGACTCATGGAACTTGCCATCATCACTAGAAAACGTAGGCAACCCACAAAAGTGACACATAAAGTTCATCGCATTCCCATGACTCCCAAGAATCACTGACATGGATTTCGTCACACATTCCGTGCGGTAATGAGCTACACACATTCACAGTCAGTCTTGCTAAACAACAAAACACAAAATCAAACAACTCACATCCAAGGCATTGCAGGCATAGCTTGCCTACCTCTGGGCACCGCCCAGAGTGTCGCACACTGATCTTCGTCTTCGCCAAACATAACCCACATACTCCTTTCATATCCAAACGCAGGTTCTCAATCTCAAGTGCTATCGCACTAACTAGCTCCTCCTTTCGTCGCGCTCGCTTCGTATTGTGCCCATACATCACTTGCGTCCCTGGCATCGGTATCACACTTCCTCCTGGCACGTCTTGCCCTCCTGCCTCTTCTTCTGCTTGCCGTTTGGCATTCTCAGCCTTTGCTTTCTCAAAGCAGTGATTGCACAATCGTTGGCATCCTACCATAGCACACGTTCGGTGCTCACCATCCAATAACTCTGCAAACGTTCCAATAATACATTGCTGTCGATTCATAAGTCGTTCACCTATGCTGCCCTCAGCTGCCTTCCCAGTCGGATAAAGCCACACATTCGCACTCTCCTGATCTCGTCCTGCTCGTCCAGCCTCCTGGAAACACTTGTTCACCTCCTTCTCATCCTCTGGTAATCCAACAATCATCACATTCCGCACATGCTTGTAATTGATCCCTGCTCCAAACCCACTCGTAGCAATCATCAAACACTTTGCCGTTTCCTTCCACATCTTCACACTCGCTTCAGCCTCCTCCTCACCCAGCCTCGAGTGGTAAACTGTAATAGCTAAATCTGGATGCAACACTTGGAGATCCTCCTTCGCTTCCCCACACCCCTGCACATCCTCAATAAAGATAATGTTCCGGTCCTTGTCTGTCAGCAAACTCCTCGTGGCTATTTGCCCCATATGCTTCATCATCACCTTCCACTGCACATTAGGCATCACTGCAAACTGAAGTTCTGCTCGTCCAGTCGCCTCACGTCGCATCTTCACTCCCGTAATAGAAAACAAATCCCATAACACCGACTCATGTCCTACTTGCATCGTCGCTGTCATAAACACAAAAGGTACATCCAACGTCCTTAACCTCGCAACCCCATTCGCATACTTGCGGTAGTCCTGATCATCTTCATAACAATGGCATTCATCAATCACAACTCGGTTAAGCGTCCTCCCACTCAACGCAGCATGAAATTCTTCAGTCCCTGCAACATCAGTCGTACACACTACTGCTCGAACCCAATGTGGTACCGACATCCGACTTTTGAACCAAACATGCTGCACTCCAGCTCGGGTCAATTCTTGCGACGTTTCAGCTACCAACGCTTTCAGAGGCTGAACGATAACAGTAATTCCTGTAGCTTCAACTAACGGTGGTAGCATATATCCTAATGACTTGCCACTGCCAGTCCTTGCAATCACCAACAAGTCATACCGCCGATCCATCACCATCGTAAGCCACTCTGCCTGAAACACATCCCGAGTGGATGCTTGTGCATTACCAGTATACTGCACAAGCGCTTTCTCTACAAGCTCAGATGCAGGCACAGGGTGATTCACTACTGGCCTCGCAAAACCAGTCTGTAGTGGACTGTCAATCTAAACATAGTATCCATACTCATCAGCTTCATCCACATCATTATGATCAAATTCACTCACTCCCCAAAACCGGTGCATCACAAGACTAGCATCCTTGTACTTTTGTTCCGACCTCCGGTCAATATCATACCCTCCAGTGCCCCCATACTCTCGGTTCGCTGTAGTACTACTGTGTCCACGCTGACAATCAATAATGTCATTCTCCTCAGACTCAGTAGGCTCCAGGTGTTGTTTGATGTGCGCATCAACTATCGCCACAGAGACATGTCGCCACGACTGAATTCCAAGCCGAGCAACTCCTCCTTCAGCAAACATACGCTTGAGAATGCTCGAGAAATGCTTCGTTTCAAGCACTCCTTTCCGACAGCTCACCCACACCTTGGTCGCCATCTGTTGAGCTCGCTCACCTTCACCTACAGTCTTGAGGAAGAATCTAATATCCCACTTGTCAGCTTTCAATCATTACTCTGGTCAGAAAGGTTACAGATGCTACTCACATTGCAATTGGACGTAAGAATGCTACATAGTAAAACCATA